TGCTTAAGGAAATCGGTTTCTCTCCAGCTTCTCCGCCTAGTCTATGGTGTGACAATTTGGGTGCTACGTACCTGTGTGCCAATCCGATTTTCCATGCTCGGACTAAGCATGTGGAAATTGACTATTACTTTGTCCGAGACAAGGTCGCCAAAAAGGAAATTCAGGTTCACTTCATTTCCACGAAGGATCAGATTGCTGATATTTTTACCAAGCCACTTGCGCCAACTCGATTCTCTCTTCTTCGTGACAAGCTCAACATTTCGACTGCTCCACCTTGAGCTTGAGGGGGAGTGTTAGGACTCTTGTATTAGTAGTTGGCTAGGACTCTTTACTTATCTCCTTATATTGTTATTGTTTAGACTATTATTGATTTTACGTTGAATATACAATCGTCATCATCCTTACATTCTAACCTCAACTCTCTACTAACTACAGAAGAAAAAATTTATTAGTGAATCACTTTTTTGACACAAGTAATTAAAATCTAAACCGAAATCATTCAATTTATAAAATATAAAATCAATTGATTTTTATATAATAATAAACTAAAATCTAACTGTTTGACTCGACTCGTTTCAAATAACCCGAACTGAAATGTTCACCCTTACCTTGTACATCTATGGTGAGGAGTAGTGGAGTCTGACTCACAACTCAATATGTCCATAATTTATTTCCATGAAATAAAACATACCGCATTTCTTTATTTTATATTTTGCATCCACTAACAACCGAATCAATCACAAAACCAATAATCCTGAGATTTATTGCACAAACAATTCAAATAAAAAAAATTCGATTCGTGATTCGAATTCGAATACTTTTTTATGATTCGAATATTTTTCGAATATGAATACAAATTAGAGTGTATTCGATTCGAATAGTATTCGAATATTTTATGCTATTTAAATATAAATTTTTATTACATTTTATCTTAATTTATTGAAGAATTTTGTAAAAAATTAAATTAGGCATTTCGAATTCGAATATTCGAGTCAAATAGAATATATTCGAATAAATTGGTCGAATCGAATACGAATCAAATTTGAAATTCGAATATTAAACAAATACGAATATTCGAATATATAGTCGAATTCGAATCGAATACTGAGGGACTCGATTCGATTCGTTTACACCCCTACCCATGGCCACGCTCATGATTATGCGTTAACAACTTATGTTCGAAAAACCAGTGTTTATTGCGGACAGAATTCAATTGGTATAATTTGGGACCGTAGAATATTTCTTTTTTGACTCTATCTATCCGACACCCATATCAATAATATGGAAGAGTCCTTACATTTATTTTTGACTTCTGAGGAGCCGTAGGGCAATTTATATCGTGCATCACGATGCACATAACAATGTGTGCACATGCACAAAACGCGTGTGTTTCAATTGCTAATGTCATTCCGCCCGTCTAAACGTCCCAAATCCCATTATGTGTATTCAATTAAAAATTTCTGTGTATTGTGTTATGAGTTTCTATGTATTCAGTTAAGAGTTTCTATGTCTTTAGTTAAGAATTTCTGTGTATTCAGTTAAGAGTTTCTGTATATTATGTATCATGTTAGATGTGCATTCAGTTATGAGTTTCTGTGTACTCTGTTATGAGTTTGTGTATTCGAAACAAAGATTTTTTTTTTTTTTTTTGACAATGCACCAAAACGATATCATTTTGGGTAAGGCGGGGCGCACAATGCATTGTGCACCCTAGTGCACGATATAACGATTGCTTATGTTGAACATGAAATCAAAATCGAGAAACTATAACCTTGAAAAACACAAACAAACGTAAATAATAATGGATTTGCTGGGGTGTTCACACAAGTCTTTGGGCTAGTATAGAGCTGCGTGCACGGTGCATCTGGTTTCTGTAAAATACATAGTACAGCGAAAAACAAAATGATAGGATAAAGATGACCCAGAACAGAAACCGAGGGTCGTAGCGGCGCGTCCACATATCTGAATACCACCAACTGGGCTATGAAAAAGTTTACGAATGTTGTGGCAAAGAAGGTGACAAAGGCATCAAAGAAACATGCCATGGCTGTAACGTTTTTCCTATTGCTATTATTACTCATATATATCACAATAGCATAATCAGAGCAATCAACAATTAATGATATTTAATATGATTTTTTTTATTTAAAAAAAAAAGATGAAAAAAACACGTCCAATGCATATCCACCGTAATATAGCATCCGTGCGTGGTACAACATTAATTTAGCCCAATATTAAAAATTAAAAATATTAAAAATATATAGCAAAAAACTATAAATTGAATTAACATTGTATTTCATCTAATCTATTTGAAATATTTAATTATATATATATATATATATATATATATATATATATATATATATATATATATATATATATATATATATAATGAGTAATTAAGTTGTTAAGACACATATCAATTTTTTCTGATGCCCAAACACCATTTTTAATTAAGAAGTTAAGACATGGTTCATTTTATATTTTTTTCTAAGGCCCAAAGCACATTTTTTCTTGCCCTAATATCTTATCTCTGTCAAGACAATCGTTATGCTGTGAAACCGGATCCACCTTGCAAGGTGGACACGGTTCCAAATTGTTTATAATGACTGAACTATACGTTAAAGAACAACATAAATGTCAAGAATTCTTGACATTTATCATTTTATCATTTTATCCCATCCTATTAAATCCCGAGAATGTAAATTTGATAGCAACCAAGTTACGCTAAATATGGAAACCTTACCTGAGAGAGAATGATGTTTATCCCATCCTATTAATCCCGGGAATGTAAATTTGGTAGCAACCAAATTACGCTAAATATGGAAACCTTACCTGAGAGAGAATGATGGGACCACCCCGTGACTGAAACAGCCATTCATTCTTCATCATTTGGACAATTTTCTAGACAAACGCTTGCATTGAGAGGCAAAGCAAGTCAAAGTGAACAAGAATAGAGGTATTAATGTACATTGAGCAAGAACATCATCTTTAGGCAAGCAATAATTCATAGGTTATGAAAAGAAAATTACCTGCTCTAAGAAATTGAGCAAGAATATCAACAACTTTAGGCACATATTCTGGTGTGTCATTTTTTAAAGAGTTTTTTCCTAAAATGGTCCCTCAACTATCGCTTATTCTCAATTTTACATTTCGACTTTTAATTGCACCCAATGTGGTCCCTTGACTTTTAAAAACTCCATCAAATTGGTCCTCCGTTAAAAATTTCATCTATTGAGTGTTAAAATGAAGGGCATTTTCGTCCATTCACCTATTATATGCCTAATATACTCTGAAAAATAGTCGAGAGACCATTTAGAGAATAGTCGAGGGATCATGTTAAGAAAAACTCATTTATTTATTTCCATTTTTTAACACTATCAAATTTGAATTTCTATACAATTCTTTTTCTTACAAATATAAATAGTTAAAATCCACAATCAAATCTCAAAATTTTAAACGTTCTCTACAATTTTTTTCCTTTTGTCTAAACGTACAAATTTTTCCCCTATCCCTATCAAGTTTTACAATAAATTTCGTAACATTCATAAATACTTTTATATATTAAAACTTCAAAAGACAATCAATCACTATGTATTACATTAAATATTATTTTTATAGTTAAAATAAAATTATTATTTTTTTTACGTACTTTGGTAAACAGGATAGGATTAGAGGAAAAGTTTGTATGTTTAGACAGAAGGAACAAATTTGTATAGAAAGTTTAAAATTTTGCGGTTTGATTGTGAATTTTAACTATTTATATTTGTAAAAAAAATGTATAGAAACTCTAATTTGATAGTCTTACAAAAATGGAAATAAACAAAAATGAAATAAATGAGTTTTTCTCAAAATGATCCCTCGACTATTCCTAAAATGGTCCCTTGACTATTTTTCAGAGTATATTAGGCATATAATAGGTAAAAGAATGAAAATGTCCTCCATTTTAACACTCAATAAACGAAATTTCTAACGGAGGACCAATTTGGGAGAGTTTTTAAAAGTCAAGGGACCACATTGGGTGCAATTAAAAGTCGAAATGCAAAATTGAGAATGAGCAATAGTCGAGGGACCATTTTGGGAAAAAAACTCTTTTTTAAATTTGAAAATCATTTTTAAAACTAAAGAACACTTCAAAATCTTTTTTATACTAAAACCACACTTTAAAATCAATTTTGAACAAGAGAACACTTGAAAATCATTTTAAAAATTAAAGAACACTTGTAAATCATTAAAAAAAAAAAAAGAATACTTGAAAATCTTTGTTAAACTAGAGAACACTTAAAAATCATTTTTAAAACAAAAAGAATACTTGAAAATCATTTTTAAACAATAGCACACTTGAAAATCATTTTTAAAACTAGAGAGCACACTTGAAAATCATTTTTAAAACTAAAAAAAACGCTTGAAAATCATTTTAAAACTAAAAAGAATACTTGAAAATTATTTTTTAAAAATAAAAGAAATACTTTAAAAATCATTTTTAAAACTAAAAAAATCCTTGAAAAAATCATTTTTAAAACTAAATATAATACTTGATTTTTTTTTTTTTTAAACTTATAAGAATACTTGTTATTTTCCATAACAACCAATCGTAATTAATTGAGCAATCAAACACAGAATCTAGCCCTATAAAGTAAAAGACCCACTATTTGTTGCATTAGGAGTCTGTAAAAATAATAAATTAACAGAACCTAAACTCATTTGACTACACATATAAAGCGCAGCACAAAAAGGTGCAAAAGCTTGATTCTTACCTTATGAACCAGATGGCAAAATACATATACAACAAGCACTCAATATATGTAAAGTTTATTTCTTCATTCTTTCTCTGAAACCATTTATTTCTGAGACGAAAATCAGATATTGGAAGTTTCAATGAGAATGTTAGTATCCCGATACAAACATGAAGGTATAGCAACTAAATAGAGGGAAAATAGATATTGTTCTCCTAATTCCTAAAAGACATAAGATCTATGAGTAAAGGCCAACAATTAAAGATAGCAGTTTTGCAATCTGAAAGAATACTAATTGACCAAGGTGGCAGTTCATAGTGCCTCTGATTGAATATCACTGTGGCAGGTGAATTCAAATGGAAATTTGCGAGAAAAGACGCACAGCCACCAGACATGGAAGAAAATACATGTGCCTAAAAATGAAGACATTTTGAACATGTGAATAAACACATGTTAACTCCACATAGCAAAAACTTTATTTTTTTTGAAGTGACGAGGGAAACACGCAGCTACTACATGAGGGTAAACCAGCCTAGGTTGACTATAGCTAACTAACTCAAACCAAGAAGGTCAATACAGGTCGCTCCCGCTAAGAATTGAATTTGTAACCTTGTAGTTATCAAGAAACTTTTCTTTGATAGACAGCTGAAGCAAAAAAATAGACACTAATATTTTATCGTGTCCATCTTATCGGCCACGGGGACGGGGTGGGTGCGGATGGTGACTTGATGACAAAAAGCATATTACCATAGAGCCAACACTTTATCAGGAATCACTTGGAAATAGGAATTACCTGTTCATAGTTTCCCAACGGCGTAACAGTCGGATCTGCATTAACTAAAGCTCTCTCACTTAACTTAATCGCCTTATGAAGTTCCATCAAATGGTCATAACTTTGGCTGCCTAAGCAAACCTATTTACCAAGGAAGAAAATGTGATTAGTTAAAATGGAAATTCGAAAGTGACAAATAGAAACAAGCATTCAAAGAAATAAGCTTAGAGGAATTATCTCAGTACTCTTACTATAAAAAAAAAAAAAAACAGAAAATAAACCACATTAGTTCAGGAAAAGGTGGAAATGAAGAACTAACAACACATTGCCAGGTGAATGTTCATGGAGGTTCCAGAACACATAGGTATGAATAACATCCAAGCCTCCATCCTTAGTCTTCTGTATAAGGCCCTCCCACATCTGCTGCATTACACCCATGACCCACTGTGTTTTTAGAATCTAACCTATTACAGGTGATAGGGGAAAAGGAAAGCAAAAAAAGGAAAAAAGTTAAGAACTTGAATACCTCAGCAAATCCACTACCAATGAATGAGCTGAGCGGAGCCTAAAATCACCACCAAACACAGCAAAACCAAATCTTTAGCCGCCATTTTTCTCCTTTGCTTTGGGGATTTGGGGGGGGGGGGGGGGGGTGGGGGGGTGTGGAAGAACATAAGATGCAGATTTCCCCTACAATGGAGGGAAAATAAATAATGTGGTACACAAAATTAAAGTTCTGCAAATGGCCAAACACTAAATATGTCTTGTATCTATCAGGTCACTGACACGAGTTGGACAAAAGAACAGACACCAAAACACAAAAAGGTGATTGGGTATTTATTGAAGGAGAAGACTTTTACATATGTTAAAAACCTACCCAACCCCCCCTCGGCCCCTCCTAAACCTCAAATCTAGGTTTGGCCACCGCTCCACAACCACCTCACGGAATGATTTACATATTACAAACTGCTCTCAGCTATATGATAAGAGCCTTTTGTACAGCATCGCGCTCCACATTTTCAACTAAAGTTTAAGGAATTGAGCAAGAATGTCAACAACTTTAGGCAAGCAATAATTCATAGGTTATGAAACAGAAAAATTACCTGCTCCAAGGAATTGAGCAAGAATGCCAACAACTTTAGGCACATATTCGGGTGTATCCTTTTTTAAAATTGAGAATCATTTTTAAACAAAAGAGCAAACTATATAATCATTTTTATAAACTAAAGAACACATGAAAATCATTTTTAAAATTAAAGAACACTTGAAAATCATTTTTAAAATTAAAGAACACTTGAAAATCATTTTTAAAAAAGAATACATGAAAATATTAGCTAAACTAGAGCACACTTAAAAAAACATTTTTAAAACAAAAAAGAATACTTGAAAATCATTTTTAAAACTAAAGAACACTAGAAAATCATTTTTAAAACTAAAAAGAACACTTGAAAATCATTTTAAAACTAAAAAGAATACTTCAACTTAGCTGAGCTCTTAAGTTTTACTGGACGGTAACGTTGAGCTGTTTCAAGTTCAGGTTCCTTGGGCCTTGTCAGTGTAAGCTTAGGATTCCTCTGCACTGATTCCAGCCATACCATCCTGAAAAATGGTTAAAATTTGAGAAAAAAATGTACTAGAAAATTAATAGAACTTTTAAGCAAGTTAGTTGTATTTATATGTGACATGGAACAATTCAAGCGTGGCATTGACATCTCTCTTGTACTATATTCGAACGTCTTCATCATTTCTGCCATTGAAATAAATGGGGCTGCTGGTTCTCGAACACAAATCTGAAATAGAAATTTTCAACACGTATTCAATTAAAAAATTAATGTCCATAAATGAAATGTGCAAGACATAAAAATGCATACTAACCATTCTGTCTTCTGTACGCGTTTTAGCAGTTGAAGTGTACAAGTTGCGGGTAGATTTCCCAGGTCTTGTTTTATAGAGCAAAGTTTGGGGTTTGATGCTAAGGACATAAGCAAAAGTGAGAACAAATAGAGGAGATCAGATTAAAAATATGTGCAAAATTTTTAGTCAATAAATGACTCACCTATCTAGCTTTCCCCTCTTCAAGTTTTTGCCTCTTTATAGTTTGATTTTCATGAGCAAAATTGGAAATTTCAGATGTAATTTTCATATGTGTTCCTGTGAATCAATAATTGATAAGACACATATTACACAGATTCCAGCACAAAAGATAAAGAGATATAGAACAAAACTAGACAAATATGGAAACTAAAAGAGAGATATCGACCTTCTTGCACTAGCTGGATTAATGCATTTCACTTGTGATTCAGATTTTGACTTCAATGCAGAGGGGTTTGAGATCATACTTGCTATTGTTTTGCTGTCTGGTGCTTCTTAGCAATTAGCATCAGTTCGTTGGGCTGTTTTCTGAGAAGTTATTTTTGGTGGCTGAGGGGTATATGCTCCCGTTTAATAATCCCAGCAGTCAGTGAAACTTAATTGAGGCAAACCAAAAGTATAAACGAAATTGATATTCACAGAGTGGAGCAAACCTTGGAGTGAGGACAGCATCTCACAGGATCCCTGAGAAGTTAGCGAAATGTAATAAGAATCATAACCCCCAAAACAACAGTAGAATACTATGCAGATGGATCAAAACATACCAAATTGGCTTCCCCGTCAGGAGTTACTTCTTCCTATCAACAACATCGCTCAAAAGCTAAGGCTTATTATGCAAATTCCAAGGCATTGGTGCCCATATTATAGAATTGAGAATCAGACCAATTGTGAAATAACCATCTCTCCATTAAAAAGCTTTTTCAAATAAATCAGTTAGTCAATAGTGGCTTCACATACTGTGACAGGCTGGTTATACTATTTGTGTGAAAAGAATGACTTCCTGAAAATGCCATGGGAAACATCCATTCCAGTTATAATTCTGGGATTTGATGGAGAACATTCCACTGCAAGCAAGAAATTCATACCGCCAAGTTATAATAAATCAGGGAAATATTTTTGAGTAATAAAGTTACTGTTATTTCTTTTTCTTTTTCTTTTTTTATAGCAGCACACTGTTGAATTATATGAATGTAATACCTTGGCATTGATATTCAGTAGCCGTCGGTCAACATAGCCGCTACAAAGAAAACAGGGGACTTTAGTAGAGAAAAACTCAATAACATTTTATATACAAGCACACAGAGTGAGGGGGAAAAAAAGATCAAAATTAAACATAAGAAAGAAAAGGCACACTCTCAAATCTCAATCAGTGAATACCAGATCCATAGAGAGAAGAGACAAAACCACCACCAAGGTTGCAACTGATATTTTCAGTAGCCGTTGGTCGACATAGCCGCTACAAAGAAAACAGGAGACTTTAGTAGAGAAAAACTCCATAACATTTTATATACAAGCACAAAGTGAGGGAAAAAAAAAGAGATCAAAATTAAACATAAGAAAGAAAGAAAAGGCACACTCTCAAATCTAAATCAGTGAATACCAAATCGATAGTGAGAAGAGACGAAGCCACCACCATGGTTACAACTCCAGGCCAGAGTGGAGCTTAATTGAGGCAAACCAAATTGTATAAACGAAGTTGATATTCACAGAGTGGAGCAAACCTAAAAGTGAGGATAGCTTCTTACAGGATCCTTGAGAACTGATATTACAGCAGAAAAAGAACCGTGAACAGCTGACTGCTTATCACTAGATCCCTGAGAATTTAGCGGAAAAGTAATAAGAATCATAACCCCCAAAACAACAGTAGAATACTATGCAAATGGAGCAAAACATACCAAATTGGCTTCCCCGTCAGGAGTCACTTCTTACACATGGCTAAAAAGTTAAGGCTTATTATGCAAATTCCAGTGGATTGGTGCCCATATTACAGAATTAAGAATAAGACCAATTGTTAAATCCTATATATACAGGCATTCAAGATTTATATCAAAGCATAAAAGAACAGAGACAAATTCAAAAAGGCAAACACAGCTGAAATTAATAAATTAACCATCTCTCCATTAAAAAGCATTTCATATAAATCAGTTAGTAAATAGTGGCTTCACATACTGTGACAGGCTGGTTATACCATTTGTGTGACAAGAACGATGTTCCTGAAAATGCCATGGAAACATCCCTTCCAATTATCAATGGAGAATACTCCACCGCAAGCAAGAAATTCATATCACCAAGTTATAATAAATCAGGGAAATGAAGAAAGAGCATGAATACGAGGACAAGAGGGGGAAGAATAACACCTCACACCATGAGAAAGATAAACACGTACAAATGAGAAGGGAGTGAAGATGAGGAAAAGGGGTAGAAGAAAGCATAAAAATAACAACACGAATAAGAGATTGAAAGAGAAGGAAGGAGGAGATTAATAATAACTGTTGCAGAACACTGTTGAATTATTTGAATGGAATACCTTGGCATTGATTTTCAGTAGACGTTGGTCAACATAGCCGCTACAAAGAAAACATGAGACTTTAACAGGGAAAAACTCAATAACATAATATATACAAGCACACAGAGTGAGGGAGAAAAAGATCAAAATAAAACATAAGAAAGAAAAGGCACGCTATCAATCCGTGAAATACCAGCCAGAGTTTTCTTCCAATCGACGGCAATATCCATTACCGGGATAAGCTGAAAAGGTTCCGAGGGAGAAGGGAAAGGTTTCGAAGCTGCAATAAAGAACACTTTCAACAAAAGGGAAATTAACACATGGAGTTAACAAAAAGGACATGAATACTAAAGCAGTCTCTTAAACTAAGGCAAGATGTATAAACTCAGGATAATAATGCGGTCACTTAAAATGGAGGTACCCTCTTATTTAGAGGGCGAGCCTTAAACTTGGGAATTTTTGCCATCATTTCTTCCTCCAACTCAGCTGAGCTCTTAAGTTTTACTGGACGGTAACGTTGAACTGTTTCAAGTTCAGGATCCTTAGGCCTTGTCCGTGCAATCTTAGGCTTACTCTGCACTGATCCAGCCATACCATCCTTAAAAATAGTTCAAATTTTTAAAGAAAACGTACTAGAAAAATAATAAAACTTTTAAGCAAGTTACATGTGACATGGAAAAATTCATGCACGGCATTGACATCTCCTTTGTACTAGATTCGAACTTCTTCATCATTTCTGCCATTGAAATAAATGGGGCTGCTGGTTCACGAACATAAATCTGAAAATGAGATTTTCAGCATGTATTAGATTCAGAAAATTAATGTCCATAAATGAAATGCAAGACATAAAAATGCATACTAACCTTTCTGTCTTCTGTACGTGTTTTAGCAGTTGAAGTGTACAAGTTGCTGGTAGATTTCCTAGGTCATGTTTATAGAGCAACGTTTGGGGTTTGATGCTAAGGATCTAAGCAAAAGTGAGAACAAATTGAGGAGATCAGATTAAAAAT